GGAAGAACATTAGATCCTTGATCAAGGAACCTGGGTTCAAATCCTATTACTGCTGACTGTGTGGCCCTGGACAAGTCATTTAACTTCTTGGGGGTCTCATTGCCTCATCTGTAAAATGGAAAAGTTGGTCTAAATGGGTCCCACTCAACTTTAAATGCTATGAGTCTATGCAGGGAGTTTGAGTCCCAAATTAGTATGTTTCCTTTGTGATATGTTCCTGACTCTGAAATATCTTTTCTATAACTGATTACCAACTCTACCATCATCAGAACTCAGGGCTTTCTCTTATAGTGGGAGCAAAGGTGTCCAGCACAAGGCTCCTGGCCCAGCATAAGGCCCACAACCCCCAAGTGTCACCAAACTAGATGAAAGTGTTATTAGGAAATATTTAACAAAATAAATAGAAATAGAATAAAACACCGATAACGTTACATTTTAAAACTAAGTCACTAGATGGCCCACGGGGATTTTCATGTACAGTCAGTGACCTTTGTTTCTATTTTAATTTTATATCAACAGCCTCCACAATTATAGCTCCCAGAACTTTACTCCTCTACTTTAATCTGGACTACAATGTCACATTTCATCAATCAAGGCCAACAGCCAGCTCCTGCCTATAAGACCGCAGATAGCATAAACATTCCTGCCTTACTTGGTTAATTTTGTACATTAAAAATTTCATGCAATCAAGTTTGTTTAAAATGAACAATACCTACAATCACTACTTAGAAACTCTTCTTTCTCCCACCCTCCACCTCAACATAACCAGTAATCCTCATCACCGCTATTAAGAAACACCGCTATTAATGAAGAGGATGTGTTCAAAGATTCCTCTGGGTTTTTACAGTTTGTTGACTAGAACAAAGCATTTGATTCACAAAATATAAGGCTGTCTGAAAGGCTGTCTACCAACAAGGTATCTCCCATGAAAGTGTGAAGACCATAAATCATTACTTGATAGATACTACAACAGAGACAATGATGATTGCTCTGATTACAGATGTCAAATGAGGCACAAAATCTTCAGAGAAATGGATTCAAATACTTACTTTCCTACTTTTAGTCTGAAAAACTTAAATTGAACTTCCCCAGGCCTCAGTTTCTTCATCTTTGTGAGCCTTAGAAGTGTGGCCTTCCCCTTAGCAGATCCCAGAGAGGCCTTATTGCCTCTTCCCCTTCTTCAAGCAACACTACAGACCCAGGACCAAAGGGAATAGAACTTCCTTCTATCTATCTACTCCATTCTCAAGCCAATTTGGCAGGCAATGTGTGGTGTAGTCAGGAAACTGCTGCAATGTGTGGTCCAGTTGGAAGAGCACAACATACCCAGAAGACCCAGATTCAAATTCTGCCTCGGATATTTCTGAACTGTGTGACCACAGGTGAATCATTTAAACTTTCTTTCTTATTCTCCATTCTCTCATGTATAAAAAAAGGGAAAATAATACCCCAGAACTCCCCCTACTGACATTGTTGAGAGGATTGAATGAGATAAGGTAAGTAGTTGTTGCAAACCATGGTGTGAAATAGGCCAAGAGAAAGTATGTTGGGAATGCTATTCTGCGGATCTGGATCTGAGTCCCTCATCTGTTTCTCAACTACCTGTGAGACTTTGGAAACATACTCGTTTCTCACCTGTAATATGAGGGGGTTAGATTAGATGGACTCTAAAACCATGATCCTATGACCTTTAGAGTTCTATTAGATGGTTTCAGAAAAACCTGAGAAGACTTATACAAACAGATGCAAAGAAGTGAGAAGAGCCAGGAGATCATTGTACATAGTACAGATTATACAATGATCAACTGTGAATGACTTAGCTATTCTTAGCAATACAATAATACAAGACAATTCTAAAGGACTTAATGATGAAAATGCTATAAGAAATGATGAGCTCAATGATCTTAGAAAGGCATGGAAAGACTTGCATGAAATGGTGAACAGCAAAGTGAGCAGAACCAAGAGAACATTGTATTTGTGGCCTTGAGTGTGGCCTTTTGACTGAGTTCAAGTTTTACAGCACAAATCCTTTTATTAAGGGGATTTGTTCTGTGAAGTTTGGATGTAGTCAAAGGACTGCACTTGAGGACCTAGGGGGCCACATGTGGCCTTGAGGCCACAGATTCCCTACCCCTGGTATATAGTAACAGCAATATTGTTTTAAGAACAATTTTGATCAACTAAGTCATTTTGACTATTATAAGTACACAAATTAAAAATAAAGGACATATGAAGAGAAACACTATCTGCATCCAGAGAAAGAACTGATAAATGGAAGTAGTACAGAATAATTTTATATATATATGTGTATGTTTGTGTGTGTGTGTGTGTGTGTGTGTGTGTGTGTATACACCAATCTGTGTCTAATTGTGGCCATCTCCAGGGTGGGAGGGAAGAAAAAAAAAGAAAAAAAAATTTACATGATAACTATTGTATGTTTAGAAGGAATAGCAAATTGTGCATAATGGATTTGCAGTTTCATGTGTAATTATCTTTTTATTATACTGTGTTATAGAAATGCTTGTTTTATTCCACAAATTAAAAATAAAATATTTTATTAAAATGCCATCCACCTCAAAAGAAAGAACTGATGGAATCTAAATGCAGATTGAAGCATACTTTTTTTTTCTTTATTTATTTTTCTTGGGTTTTCTCTCTCTTTTTTTAAATGTGTTCTCTTTTGCTACATGGCTAATATGGAAATGTGTTTTATATGACTACACATATATAATTTATATCAAAGTGCTTGCCTTCTCAAGGAAGGGAGAGGTGAGGAGGGAATTTAGAACTCAAAAATTGTTTTAAAAAGTGTTAAAATTGTTTTTACATGTAAATGAGAAAAAATAAAAACATTTTTTCAAAAGATAAGGGAAGGATAGTCTGGAATAAGGGTAGAAGATAGAAATTAGGAAATAAAATTTGGAGAAACTCTAAAAAAAAAATAAAGTACTAAGTGTGAGTTATGAGTAGTAGCACTGAAAGATTTGTTCTCAAAGGATTTGTTATTTGAGATATCACTATTCATATAATCCTAAAATCTATACAAGCATATCATTTCCTGCTGAAACACCCCCCTCAAAGACATTCTTATAAATGCCTAAATTCTTCCTTTTATTTCCCACTTCATAGAACACACTATCTCAGTCAAAAAAGAGAAACTCACATTTCTCAAAGAATTCTTGTCCATAGCTTTCTTTAATCTCCGCTGGACTTTTATTCCAAGAATTTCTGTATCTCTCCTGGACCCTCTGGCTGTTGGTCATGTTTGTTCTGAAATAGCCAGGCTCAATCATGGAGATTTTCACCCCAAAATGTTTCATTTCAAGCCTGAAACAGATTCACCCAAGTTAACACGATGGTTTAAACACACCCTCAATTTTAATGTTCATGGAAAGAAAATACAAATTATTCAAGAACTTGTGAAATCTCTCATGAGATCACTACTCATTAGAGGTTATCTAGTCCGACTGTGTCAAACTCAAGCAGAAACAGATCCTTGCAGGCTACAGATTAATTTAGACAATTTTGGTCAAGTCCCTGCTCTGAGATTTAACAGCTAGCTAACTTTTAACTTCTTTGAAATTCTGCTTCCTCATCTGCAAAATGAGGCTAATAATAGTCCCATTAGTATTCACTTCTTCTGAATAATGTTTTGAAAATTTAAATAGCAGTCTATTGATTGAGCATTTATTAAGTGCCTACTATTCTTCAGGTACTGTGCTAGGCACTGGGTATACAAAAAGAGAGTCCCTGCCCTCAAGAAATTCACAATCTAATGAGGGAGACAACAGGCGCACAACTAAATACAAGCTTTCCCCACAAGTGTCTTAATATTGATTAATTCACTCAACAAACATTTGTTAAGTGCCTTCTGCAGACAAGGCAGTACAGTCAGTCGGCCTAGTGAATAGAGAACTGCCCTTAGAGCCAAGAAGAACTGAATCTAAATTCTGCCTCTCACACATACTGGCTAGGTGTTCCATGGGAAAGTCACTTGGGCCCTGATTGCTCTCAGACAACTCTGTAAGACTAGAAATGGCAAATCTGCATTGGGAGTGGGGCTTTTACTTTGGGAGCTTCCTAGACAGATGAAATCAGAGGAAGAAAGGAAGGAAGGAAGGAAGGAACCAAGGAAGGAAAAAAGGAGAAAAAAGAAGGCAAGAAAGAGAAAGAAAGAAAGAAAGAAAGAAAGAAAGAAAGAAAGAAAGAAAGAAGGAAGGAAGGAAGGAAGGAAAGAAGGGACAGAAAGAAGGAATGGAAGGAGAAACAAGAAGGCAAGAAAGAAAGAGAAAATAAAGAAAGAAAAAAGAAAGAAAAAAAGGAGGGAGGGAGGAAGGCAGGGAGGAAGGAAGGAAGAAAGGAAGGAAGAAAGAAAGAGATTTATAAACTTTAAAACTCTATAGGGGGCAGCTTAATGATATAGTGACTAGAACACCGGCCCTGGAGTCAGGAGGACCTGAGTTCAAATCTGGCCTCAGACCAAACACTTGACACGTACTAGCTGTGTGACCCTGGGTAAGTCACTTAACCTCAACTGGCCTAAAAATTAAAAAAAGAAACTCTATAGATGCTATTATTACTTTCATCCCTCTGACTTAAAATAATATCACCTTAAGTAAACAAAGGAATGTATCAACTTTTGGAATGATTCTCAGTCCCTCTCTTGAATAATGTTTTAGGAAATTTAAATGTCAGTCTACTGACTGAGCATTTATGAAGTGCCTACTATGTCCCAGGTGGGCAGCTAGGTAGTGCAGTAGATAGAGCACCAGGCCTGGAGTCAGGAAAATCTGAGTTCAAATTCGACCTCAGAAGCTTGCTAATTGTGTGACCCTGGACGAGTCACTTACCCCCTGTTTGTCTCAGTTCCTCATTTGTAAAATGAGGACACACCAGAGAAAGAAATGGCAAACCACTCTAGTGTCTTTGCCAAGAAAACTTCATGTACTTGTCCATGAGGAGAGTCAGAAAGAAAGATGTCAGAAAGAAAGAAAGAAAGGAAGCTGAAAGACTGAAACAACAATGTTCCAGGCACTGTGTTAGTCATTAAAGATACAAGAAGAGCCAAAAGAAAGTCCCCACCCTCAAGGAACTCACAGTCTAGAGGGGGTGACAACATGCAAACAACTATGTAGAAGCTATATATAGGAAATAATCAATGGGGGGAAGGCACTAGAATTAAAAGGAATCTGGAAAGGTATCCTCATCCTGTAAAAGGTAGGATTTTTGCTGGGATTTAGTCCTGGGCAGCCAAGAGACAGAGATAAGGAAGGACAGCATCCCAAGCATGGGAGACAGCCAGAGAAAACGCCTACAGCCAAGAGATAGAGTGTCCTGTTTGTGGAATTCTGATGACAGAAATATGACTATGTATGTAGCCACTTAAGGTGGCTACAATGCTTCAATGTGACCACAACCTCCAAGGACAAATACAAATATACTTGGAATCCTCAGTCTTAGGGGAAAATGTAGACCTTCTCTGGCTAATCATCACTCCTCTACTTGTATCCTTGATCCCATCTCCTCTAGGAATATGCCTTTTTGATCATCCCCTCTTTTTCCTTAATTTTCAATTTCTCCTCAGCCAATGGCTTCTTCCCTTCTGCTTACAAATATGCAATACAATATATCGTCCTCGTCCTTAAAAATCATTTCATTTGATCTTATTGCTGTCTTTGCTATTGGGTTATTCAATAGTGTTCAACTCTTCGTGATCCCATGGATCATAGCATGGCAGGCCCTTCTATCCTCCACTTTCTCTTTTCTATATACTATCTATCCATCTCATCCTCTGCCGTCCCCTTTTCTTTTTGCCTTCAATCTTTCCCAAAATCAAGGTCTTTTCCAATGAGTCCTGTCTTCTCATTATGTGGCCAAAGTATTTAAGCTTTAGCTTCAGTATTTGCAGGAGACGCTGCTCTCTCCTGGTCCTCATTCTGGTCACTTCTTAGTCTCCTTCACTGCATCACCGTACACATCCCACACCCTTCCCACTGATGTTCCCCAGGCTCTGTTGTAGGTTTCTTCTCTCTCTATCCTTTCTTTTGGTAATCTTATCAACCCCAGCGGATTCAATCATCATCTCTTTCAGATGACAGTCACATCTATATATCCATTCCTAGTTTCTCTTCCTAGTGCATAATAGGTGATGAATAAATATTTGTTGATTTGATCAAACTCCAGGCCCATGTCACCAACTGGACATATTGGACATCTCCAGTATGGATGGGACATCCTATAGGTCTCTCAAACTCAAAATGTCCAAAACAATTCATTGTCATTCTTCCTAAATACTCTCCTTTTCCTAATCTCCCTATTTCTGTTGAAGGCACTACAATCCTTCTAGTCACCCAGGTTCCCATTCCTGAAGACATCCTCAACTGCTCATTCTCACTCTCTCCTAATACCCAATCAGTTGCCAAATCTTGTGAATTCTACCTTGACACTTTCACTTCACTCACGTGGCTGCTGCCCCAGTTTCAGGGCCTCATCTACTTGGAGGATTGAGATACTCTCCCTGATTCCATTTCCTCTCCCCTGGATGGATGGATTGATGTTTGCATGAATAAAGTATAATGATAGTTACCTCAGACAATCTGAAAAAGCTTCCACTCCATACTTGGAACAACAGTAGGGCACTGAATAGAAAGCAATTCTCCCCATGATGCTAGAGACATTGACAATCCTTCCCCTATCTTGTTTCAACATTGGCAGCATGTTTAGCGTCACCTCAATTAATCCAATCAGGTTTACGTCCAGTGTCTTTATGAGGTCCTGCTTGTCCATCAACTCAGTGCAAACATCTGGATAGATAACTCCTGCATTGTTGACGAGGCCCCAGAGTCCTACAAAGATATAAATCAAAATCAAAAGTGAGTTAACATGTAGCATTGGAAAAGGATGTTAGAGCACACCTAGACTAACCTCAGGTATAGCCTCTAATATGTTCCAACCCTAATGAATTTAACGAGAGGCAGTAAAGAACAGTAGAGGGAGCACTGGAGATAGAAAGGTCTCAGTTTGGGCCCTGCCTGTGATATATATTAGTTGTATGATCATGAACATTATCATTACAATCATTAGATTATAAGCTTCTTGAGGTCAGGGACTGTCTTTTGCCTCTTTTTGTATCCTCAGCACTTAACATAGTGCCAAGAACATAGTAGGGGTTTTGTAAGGGGTTTTTATTGATTGATTGATTGAACAAGTTATTTAACCTCTCAGTTCTAGGCAATTCTAAAAGACTATAATTTATAAATAAGTTGCCTATTTCCATTGGCAGTTTCTACACAAGTAAGTTCCCCACACAGATGAAATCACAGATCGTAGCCTAATTGTTCGATTGATTGATTTAATAAGGAATCTAGCATACCACCAAGTACAAAAATTCCTTATTCTCTAGATTTGGAGCCCAGGTCAAAGATATATTTAGAAACACAAAGATTTATTACTGTACTACAAAAAATAATGAATATTATTATTATAGAGAAGCATGGGAAATGTTTATACAAAATGAAGTAAGTAAAACCAGGGAAACAATATACACAATGATTACAACAATATTAATGGAAAGAATAACAACAAAACCATGGAAACTGAATGGTACAAAACTATAACGACCCAGTTTGGCCCCAAAGAAGAGATGTGAAAAGGCTCCTCTGTTTCCTTTGCAGAGGTAGGGGAATATGAATGTGAAATACTATATATGATGTCAGACTTTTGATATGTTGGGTAGTTTTGCTAAATTGTTTTCTTCTCTTTTTATCCTTTTTAATAAAGAATGGTATTCTAGAAGCAAGTAGGAAGAGGGGCAGGTAAGGAAATGTGGATGATATAAACATTAAAAAATTAGTTATTTTTTACACTGAAAAATAAATTTTAAAAATCAGTAAATGTAGGCTAATTTGAGCAGAAATGGAAAATGCTTACATCCAGAAGGATCACACAAGGTTGCCCATGTGAGGGGGCACATAAGCTAAGCTTTAAATGATGCTAAGAGGCATTAATGCATTCTAGCCATGGAGGACAGACAGCCTCTGCACAGGTACAAAGGCAGGAGGCAGAATGCCAAGTTCAGGAAAACACAAATAGGCCAATTTCTTTGGGATACAGGCTACATGAAAGGAAGTCATAGAATAAAGCATGGATAAGTGACCCCCAGCCAGTTTGTAAATGGCATCAAATGGCAAGCTAGGGAGTTTATATCTTATCCCAGAGGCAATGAGGCACTGGAGATTCTGGAGCAAGAGAGAGGTCAGGAAGATTATTTTGGTAGCCGTGTGGAAGATAAATTCGAGTGGGGGAGAGATTGAAGGCAGAGATACAAAGCAAGGGTAGCAATCAGGAGACTATTACCATGGTCCATGAGAACTAATGAGGGCCTGAACTAGAGTGGCCAGCCACATGAATGGAGAAGAGACAAAGAGAGATATTGATGAGGTACATTTAACAATACTTGGCAACTAATTGAATATGGGTGGAGAGCAAAGAATTTATTTAGCATGGTTCCAAGACCAGCAACTTGGGTGACTAGAAAGAGGATACTGTTGGAGGAGAGATGGACTTAGGAGGCCAAATAATTAATTCTGTCTTGAATATGTTGAGTTTGATAGCCTAAAGGGTATCCTGGGAGAGATGTCCAACAACAGACAGTAAAAAAAAGAATTTGGAGTAATGTCCATGGATTTCTTTTTTTTTTTTTGCTTGTTCATAATAAAAAATAATTGAGCAGGAAAAAAAAGTGGCAATAAGTTGTTGCCTCAACAATTATCATGCTTGCCTTGTGATAAAAATCAATTTAAAAAAAATACCTTGTAAACTTACTTTCTGAACAATCCTAGTCAAGTTTTTTGGCGCTTTAAAGATTATGTCTTTAAATCCTTTAATTAGGGGCAGCTAGATGGTGCAGTAGTTAGAGCTCTGGGCTTGGTGTCAGGAGGACCTGAGTTCCAATCCAGCCTCAGACACATGACACTTACTAGCTGTGTGACCCTGGGCAAGTCACTTAACCCCAATTGACTTACCAAAAAGCAAAAAAAAAAAAAAAAAGATTATGCCTCTAAATCTTCTAATTGCAAGATGGAAACAACACTTGCAAATCCCCAGTGCTCATTTTACAAGGTAAACTATTGAGCATATGAAAACAATACAAAAGGCCTTCACTGTCCTCCTAAATGACAAAATGAAGCTTTCAAACATCACACATCCCTTCTTCATGCTTAAGGATTTAAGAAAAATGAAATAATGACTCTCTTTCATTGATACCTTTATTTCCCACATGCTCCTTCACCCACCGGGCAGCTGCGGTGATGCTCTCAGTTTTGGTTACATCCAGGATCACTGTCTCCACCCTGTCCGAAGTCCCATGCCTCAGCTGCTCAGCCCCTTTCTCTGTCAGACAGGCTGCAAGCACCCTCATGCCTCGAAAGTCCAGTTGCTTGGCCAGTAAATTCCCAAATCCAGAGTCACAACCGGTGATAAAGACATATTTGTCTCCAAGGTTACTCACCACCTGCCTCTCCCGGTGCCAGCGAAAGAGATAGTAAAGGCCAATAAGGCAGACCAGGTAGAGCCACATGGCTTGGTCTATCACTATAAATAAAGCATGAAAAAAAATGTTAACTGCTCTGCTGTCTTTCAATCCTCCAGAAGCCTTTTTTTTCTAATAGTTTTCTTTTGGACCAGACCAATTTCACTAGTAGAGAATTCCTAGCAAAGAGAGCTGTCTTTACCAAAACAGGTAAGTACCTATTCTGTAAGGTAGAGATAGTCTTAGAGACTTGCCTAAGTCATTTAGAAGTCAAGTGATTTGCCTAGGGTCACATAGCCAATATATGTCAGAGCGACAACTTGAACCCAGGTCTCCAAAGCCACTTTTGGGCATTGGACTATACGACTGAGGTCCCTGACCACTGGAAGTTTCCATGATTCTGGTGCCATGTTAATGGGGTCATTTCCTCAATGGTTAAAGAACTTTGGAATCGATTACATGACATGGAAGACACTGGCACAGGACTGCCCGGGAAGGTGCCGCGTGCTCTATGAGCAAAGCAGAATTGAAATAGCTCAAAAGAAACGTGAGATGCGCAAATTTAGAGAATCTACCCCTAAATGTTCACACGGATTATTTGTGTCCAACCTGTGGTAAAGCGTTCCAGGCTCGTACTGGTCTGATCAGCCACAGTCAGACACACTGTAACTTGACTCTAACATAGTGATGTCATTTTGGTCCTCTTCAAGAATGAAGTACAACAACCACACAACCATAAAAATGCTTAGCAGTCACTCATTACGAACTTGCCTCTCAGGAATGCCAAGAATGCTTCCCTGCACATCACCCTCATGCCATGCCATCCCTAGTTATCCTTATTTCAAAGCTCAAGCAGACACATGCATTTCTTTTATTCTTTTCTGGTCTCCTTCCCCTTCCCTCTTCTGTTTTCTGGGAGGGGTAGATCTACATCGCTCCCTACATGAAGACCAAACTCCACCTTTCCCCATCAGATAAACAGATAGCCTGAATCCCTCTCACTGGTATTACATGGATTAGAGTGATGTGGACCAAGTGTCAGAAACTTGCAACCAGGAAAACAAGGGTTCAAAACTTCCCTCTGAAATCTTCCTTAGCTCTGTTTCCAGAAACAGGACATTTAGCTTGCCTCAATTTCTTCATCTGTAAAACTGCAATAATAATAACTAGCAACTACCTCCTAGGTTTGTTATGACGAACAAATGAGATGCACTATATAAATGCACTATATAAAAGTACCTGATGTTCTCAGAGGCTGAGATTTGTTGAGAGTCTTCATTTTTACAAGTAAAAGAACCTAGAAGTAGTTCCAATTTGGATGTGGAATCCCTAAGACTCACTGACAAGAAATTCCTTGAACAGGTCAATCCACAGATTCCTAAATGCCCAGAGTTAAGGCTGGAATGAGCAGGAAGAAAGCAAACCATGCTCCCTATAGCAAGTAACCCCCCAACTAACCCACTTCTCAAGAAAAGTTTAAAGACATATTTAGGGGATTGAAGTGGGAAGCCTATATGTAATTTTACCAGGGCCAACTCTAGATAGATTCTTAAACATAGAAGAGCAGAAATAAGAATTTTTCAAAAAATACAAAAGCCCCTCAAAAAAAGTTAATATATGAAAAGTTTAATAATAATAATAATAACATAAATGTGAAATTTTCTAGCCAAGTGCAGCTCTAACCTAACAAACCCCAGGAATAATAAAGAGCACCAGAGGAAAGAAAGATTTTTTTTTAAACCTTACAGATAATTGAAATCCAGCCTCAGACACTTGATACTTACTAGCTGTGTGACCTGGGCAAGTCACTTAACCCCAATTGCCTCACCAAAAAGCAAAAACAAAACAAAAAAACCTTACAGAACTGCTCCTCTTTCCCACTTAGGATTATCACCAACATGATCTCTTAGAGGGGCTTCACGCTGGGGATCTAGTCAGAAGAAGAGACCGCATATCCTGAATGTTCCTGTTAGAGAATAGCCAAGGTGGTGAGACCAGGGACAGGCTACCAGGAGACGAGCTGAAACCCAGACATAGTTGGGGAGGACCAGTCAATAGAACTGCAGAGAAGATTTGGGAGAGTAGGGAAAAAGCTAAAACCAAAACGGTAGATATGTATGAGGCTCCATACTTGGAGGCTGTGTAGAGATAGGCCTGGGTGGAAGAAAGAGAAAGTCTGCTACTACCCTTAGGAGGGTAAGACATACCCCGCCTCAGCACAGTTGGAGGCCCCTTATAGCCCAGATAAATTCCTGAGGAGAGAAAGAAATTCTGAAGACATATGGAAAAAAAAAAAACAAATTGTTGAATCCTTTTTCCTGAAAAAGTCAGAAATCTAAGCAAGGTGAATTTAGATATGACAAATTTGTTTTCAGACTAGTCTTTGGTAGTTTAGATAAACTTTGCTCATTAAAAATCACCTTTGTGAATATAAAAATTTTAAGTACATTTTAGTCAAAGGATAATTACAGATTTACTAACAATTAATTTTTGGGGCAGCTAGGTGGCACAGTGGATAGAGCACCGGCCGTGAAGTCAGGAGGACCTGAGTTCAAATCCGGCCTCAGACCAAACACTTAACACTTACTAGCTTTGTGACCCTGGGTAAGTCACTTAACCCTAATTGCCTAAAAAAAAATAGAAAAAAAAAACAACGAATTTTTAAGTAAAAAGAGCTAGCATTTATATAGCAACTACTGTGTGCCAGCATTATGATAAGCACTTTGCAAATACTATCTCACTTGATCCCACAACCTGTGAGATAGATGCTATTATTATCCCCATCTTCATAATAATAACAATAGCTAATATTTATAGGGTACTTACTATATGCAAGGCACTGTGCTAAGTGCTTTACAATTAATATCTCATTTGAGCCTTACAACAACCCCGGGAGGTAAGGTGCTATTTTTATCCCCATTTTACAGATGAGGAAACTGAGAATAAATCAGAGACTTTTCCATGGCCATAAGAGCTAGGAAGTACCTGAGGCAGGACTGGGACTCAGATTCAAGGTCTTGCACTCTACCCACTACACAACCAAGCCGCCTCAGTTTCATAGCTCCCTATTTGGGGAGAGGAAGAGGAATAAGTCTAGGGAGCACATCAGCTGGGAGTTTTACCAGGCACCACACACAAGGAAGGGAACAAGGGTAGCCTAGATTTAATGGTTTGTGGTTATCTGACCTCTGGGAAAGAAGAGGCTCAATCTAAGGGAAAAGGTGGAAAAGACAAAACTCCATTTACGGGGCAGAGCCTCAGCTCTTGAGTCAACCACATTTCGGGGTTTTCCTAGCAAAGATACTAGAATGATTTGCCCTTTCCTTCTCCAGCTCATTTTACAGATGAGGTACTGAGGCAAACAGGGATAAGTGACTCGCCCAGAGTCACACAGCCAATAAGTGTCTGAGGCAGATTTGAACTCATGAAGATGTCTTCCTGATTCCAAGTCCAGGACTCCATGCGCTATGGTACCACCTAACTGCCCTTACTTTAGCCAATATGTTTGCTGTAGGTAAATTATTGAGGATAGAAAGAATGGTTCAACAGTTAAAGAGAGTTCCCAGGCACCAGAGTCACGGAGATCACCAACATGCTGAAGAAGGTGGTGAGTTGGAAGGTCATAGTGGGAGGCCTGATGCTCAGGGAAAGAATCTTCAGAGGCCAACCTTCATATCAGTAGACAAAAATCTTAGCAAGCTATTACTCAGCCTCAAAGAAAGAAGTATTACTCTCTGCATCCCTGTAAATAATTTTCTTCTTTTGCTGGATTTCTCATTTATGCTGTTCCCTCTTTATATATGTATGTCAGAGGTCAGAAACATAACCAATGGGAAGGAATAACAGGATCCATTTGTTGAAATATTTGCATATTAGATGTATCTGAACCACCACCAATACTATCACCATCCCTGCCAGAGGAAAGTATACAGGATTTGCCTATACTTGCTTGGGAGATTCAAGAATAAGATTTGACATTGAAATTAAAAGGCACAGCCCAAGTCTTGTGAAACAGTTTTTAAAACTCCCTTTTCTCTCGTTTTCCAAAATCTGCCCCAGGACTGGCACCTAGTCTTAATTGCCATAATCAAAGAATCCACAAGAAAAAGGATGATTTTAAACTCCTTTGCCCCATTACTCAATTCCTCAGTTTCCACTCTCCAAATAACGATTCACTCTCACTCTTTCATTACTTCCCAAACTGAACAGTCATTATTAGCTCGGGGTCTAAGATTGGGCCAGACTTTCTAAATAAATATTTTTCTAATGCCTAGCAGGTATTTATTTTGCTCTCAGTTAAATAGTAATTAATCCCTATAAAGATTTAGTTGAGAATATTTTTAACATTTTAAGCCCCAAAGGGGTTTATACATTTTAAGATCAGAAGGAGAAAGAATAATGAATTTTGATGCAAAAGAACCCAAGTTCAGAGATCAACTCTGCAACTTACCAGTGGTGTTATCTGTGGAGGGGGCCCTTCACTTCACTTCACTTCCCTGTGCTTCATTTGCTACACTGCAAAATAAATTGATTGGATTAGTTGATCTTCCAACTCAAACTCATGTTATGCTATAGCTCTTCATGTTCAACAAGGAATTCACATCTACTGGTAAAATTTCAGGCACTATGTTATGATGATAATCTTCTTGAGCAAAAGGAATTGGCAATCACAGTTCATAGGTCACAGTCCCACTCTGCTTATGCATAAAGCCAACCTTCCTCCTCCCTGACCCCCACCACAATATTATAAATTCTCAAGGTCTTCAGACCACGATCATATTTTGTGAAGTCCAAGAAACATTAATGACCCACAACCCTACTGCTGGGAGAGAAGGGGAAGGACACTGCCCAACTATTCTTCAGGCAAAATAGAAAAACCAATCCATCAATCAATCAAAATTGCAAGAGAAAAAAAAATGTAATGGCCTTCCAGCAAATGTCTCCTGTTATTCATGTTTTGTTTCACCCCAAACAAGATCTTGAGTACAGCTGAAGAACCTTGTCTTCTGAGGATTTTTAAAAACCAGAGAGACCACTCACCACAACTCTCCCATTTCCCCATACCTTCTCCTTGCCTCTTCCCCAATCTACTCTTCACAACGCATCTGAGCAGACAGGTGTAGATGAAGTCTTAGCTGGTAGGAAGAAACTATTTAATAGTTTCTCAGCTGGGCAAAGTACCAATCACCACCCTGCTATCTGTCTCCTCCCTTTGCCTTTACAACTTCATCTAAACTGGTTTTTAAGTAGTTGGATTGGTTTTTCTTTTTAAACAACACCACCCTCTTGTGGTGAAAATTAGACTTGTCTCATTCTGTCCTGTCCCAACTGAGTTTCCTAGGCTCAGAGCTCAGGAGCCCATGAATCTATGTCACTGATGGAAAGGAAGTTAAAAGGGCATTTTTTTTTTTTAGGCAATTGGGGCAAAGTGATTTGCCCAGGGTCACGTAGCTAGTAAGTGTCAAGTGTGGTCTGAGGTCACATTTGAATTCAGGTCCTCCTGATTTCAGGGCTAGTGCTCTATCCACTGCGCCACCTAGATGCCCTATAATATCTTTTTTTCTTTTTTGGTGAGGCAATCGGGGTTAAGTGACTTGTCCCAGGGTCACACAGCTAGTAAGTGTCAAGTGTCTGAGGTCACATTTGAACTCAGGTCCTCATGACTCCAAGGCTTTAAGCACTATCCACTGTGCCACCTAGCTGCCCCTAGAAGAGCATTTTTGATGCTTTTCTCAGCACACACACTCCCTCCCATCAGTTTACACCATGTTGTTGTTCAGTTATGTCCAACTCTTCATGACATCATTTGGGATTTTCTGGGCAGAGATACTGGAATGGTTTACCATTTCCTTGTCCAGCCTGTTTTACAGATAAAGAAACTGAAGCAAAGAGATAAGTGACTTGTCCAGCATCACAGTTAATAAGTACCTGAGGCCAGATTAGAACTAAAGAAGTGGAGTCTTCCTGACTTTGGGTCTGGCACTCTATCTGTGCCACCTAGCTGTTCTTACACCATGTTGCTGAGGTTGCAAAGCACATACTACACTGAAGGACAAAATTATCTTATATTTATTTAGCGTATGTTTAGCATATGCTTACATATGTACTCATTGATAATATAATTAATCTTTATGTAGTGCTTTAAAATTTACAAAGTAATTTACATGTGTCATTTCATTTGATCTTCACAATAACCTGTAAAGGAGCTGCTATAATTATCTCCATTTTACAGATGAGCAAATTAAGGCTGAGACAGGTGAAATGACTTTCCCAGGGTCACATGTCTGAAACAGGATATTTACTACTTCCTCACTCCAGATCCAGCTTTGTACTACCTAGCTGCCTCTAATGTTGTAATGTAAGCTCTTTGAGGGCGAAGACTATTTTGAGTTTATCTTTGTATCCCCAACATCTAGCACAATATCCAGCCTATAGTATGCTTTTTTTTATTAATTTATTTTGATTTATCAACAATCACTTCCATGTGCCTTTGAGTTTCAATTTTTTCTCCCCCTCCCCACCTCCCTCACCAAGATGGCTTGCAATCTGATATAGGCTCTACATATACATTCCTATTAAACATATTTTCATGTTCGTGATGTTGTAAATAAGAATTAGAACCAATAGGAAGAACCACCAAAAAGAGGAAACAAAACACAACAGAAGAAAAAATATAGCAAATAGTATGCTTCAATCTGCATTCAAACTTCATAGTTCTTTCTTTGGAAGTGGATAGCATTTTCCATCATGAGGCTTTTGGAGATGTCTTAGATCCTTGTATTGCTGAGAAGAGTTAAGTCTATCAATATTAGTCATCACACAATGTGGCTGTTACTGTGTACAACATTCTCCTGGTTCTGCTCACTTCACTCAGCATCGGACCCTAGAAGTCTTTCCAGGTTTTTCCGAAGTCTGCCTGTTCATCATTTCTTATAGCACAATAGTATTCCATTACATTCATATACCACAACTTGTTCAGCCATTCCCCAATTGATAGGCATCCTCTCAATTTTCAATTCTTGGCCACCACAAAAAGAGCTACTATAAATATTTTTGTACATGTGGGTCCTTTTCCTATTTGTATGATCTATTTGGGATACAACCCTAGAAAGTGCTATTGCTGGGTCAAAGGGTATGCACAGTTTTATAGCCCTTTGGGCATAGTTCCAAATTGCTCTCCATACTGGTTGAATCAGTCCACAACTCCACCAACAATGCATTAGTGTTCCAATTTTCCCACATCTTCTTCAACATTTATCATTTGCCTGTTTTGTCATGTTGGCCAATCTGATAGGTATGACGTAGTACTTCAGAGTTGTTTTGATTTGCATTTCTCTCATCAATAGTTATTTAGAGCATTTTTTCATATGACTATAGATGGTTTTAATTTCTTCATCTGAGAACTGCCTGTTCATATCCTTCGACCATTTATCTATACTATGCTTTTACTTTGATTGGTTGGTGGGTTGGTTGAGAGAAAGGGTGGGGCAGCTAAGTAGTGCTGTGGATTATAGTACTAGTCCTGGAGTCAGAAGGACCAGAGTTCAAATCTAGCCTCAGACACTTGACACTTACTAGCTGTGTGACCCTGGGCAAGTCATTTAACTTCAATTGCCTCTTTTAAAAAAGAAGAAGAATAGAGAGGATTTGTGGGATACTAATAGAAATCCTTGCATCTGAAGCAACTTTTACAAAATGATAGTGTAGGGGAAAAAACCCTGAACTAGAGTTAGGAAACCGATCCGAATCTCAGTTCTTATGCTTGCTAGCTAGGTGACTATGGGCAACTCACCTCACCTCTCAAACTGTGTGTCCTTTGTATAATAGTAATAGCAGCAAGGGTTAATAGATATGGGCCTGGGCAAGCCTGGGCAAGCAGTATAGTGGCCACTCATGGACATAATCACAATATTCATCAGTATGAAAGTTTTAACCTACTTTTTTTTTTAACCTAAACTGGTTCATCCCTCCTTAGGCATCCTGGTGGTGTTTCACTTCAGAATGCCTACCATATCAATGCTAGATTTTGTGCCTTACTGCAGCTCAGAACTCCCAAACTCAAGCAATCCACCAGCATTACAGCTGTCCAGCACGGACACCACCATGCCCAGCCTTCCTCATCTTTCAAATGGGGATAATGTCAAACATTGTAGCGTTATTGTGGGGCACAGGTGAACAAATGTATAAAAGTCACTTTGCAAACTTTAAAGTACTATAGAAATATCAGTTGTTATTTTTCCCTATCTTATAAGGTTGTCTGAAGAAAGAACTATGTAAGACCTTAAAATGAGAGAGTTCAGTATTTCCCGAAGTGCAAGAAAAGGCTTTGGAGAGTAGAAAGAGAGACAGAGAGATCTTAGTAAAAAAAAAAAAAATTGTACAAATGTTGTACAAAATTCCTCCAAACACAGCACAAAGAGAATCTGTGAACTACCCAGAGACTTTCCAAGCTACAAAAAGCAACAGTCATTGAAGGAGCTGTTGGAAACAGTCTTCCTGACTGACAACAGCCTGACTATTCTGTATCATGGGTTGATAACTTAAGCCAGTCCTGCCAACCTTCACAACTCACTAGACTAGAGGCTTAAACTGGGTTGAAGACAGGGTTAGCACTAGGACTTACCTTTTTAAGACCTTTCTTTCTCCTTCCAGTTGTCCCTCTTTCTTATTCCAGCAGGATTGTCTGTGAGCTGTGAACACTAACCCAGAAGCAGGAACAGAAAGTGTGGCCTCTTACAGAAAAATCAGAATTGTGGTCTTACAGGTAGAAGAGATTTCAGTTGCTATCTGGTCTAACTTCATTTTATAGATATAATCTGCCAGGTAGCATTGTCAAGTAAGGCAAGATGAACTACAATTACTCCTTAGCCTAGGCAGGAAAAGAATTCATTCCCCTTTTCTTTTTTTAATCAATTGATAACATTTTGGGGGGTTTTGGATGGGGTTGCACTTAATAGTATCTCAATGTTCATTTTTTGCAAGATTTTGAGTTCCAACTTTTTCTCCCTGCCTCCCTCCCTTTTCTCCTCCCTCCCCAAGACAACAAGCGATTTGATGTGGGTTATACACGTACACTCATGCTAAACATATTTCTGCATTAATTGTGTTGTGAAAGAAGAATCAGAACAATCAGAACAAAAGGGGGAAACCATGAGAAAGAAAAAACAAAAAAGGAAAAAAACAGTATGCTTCAATCTGCATTCAGACTCCATTGTTCTTTCTCTGGATGCGGATAGCATTTCCCATCATAAGTCCCTTGAAATTGCCTTGAATCATTGTATTGCTGAGAAGAGCTATCTATCAAAGTTGATCATTGCACAGTGTTGCTACTATTTCTGCTCACTCACTTCGCTCAGCATCAGTTTCTGTGAGTCTTTTCAGGTTTTTCTGAAATCTGCCTGCTCATCATTTCTTATAGAACAATAGTATTCATTACATTCATACACCACAATGTGTTCAGCCATTCCCCAATTGATGGGCATCCCCTCAATTTCCAAGTCTTTGCCACCACAAAAAGAGTTGCTATAAATAGTTTTTTTCATGTAGGTCCTTTTCTCTTTTTTATGATGTCTTTGAGATTCAACTCTAGTAGTGGCATTGCTGGATCAAAGGGTATGCATAGTTTGATTGCCCTTTGGGCATTGTTCCAAATTGCTCTCCAGAATGATTGGATCTATTCACAACTCCACCAACAATACATTATTGTTCCAACTTTCCCTTATCTTCTCCAACATTTACCTGATAGGTGTGAAGTGGTACCTCAGAATTGTTTTAGTTTGCATTTCTCTAATTGATAGTGATTTAGAGCATTTTTCATATGACTATAGATAGCTTTAATTTCTTCATCTGAAAACTGTGTATTCATATGCTTTGACCATTTATCAATTGGGAAATTACTTGTTTTCTTATAAATTTAACTCGGTTCCCTATATATTTGAGAAATGAAGCCTTTATCAGAAACATTGGCTATAAAAACTATTTCCCACCTTTCTGCTTTCCTTCTAATCTTGATTGCATTGGTTTTGTTTATGAAAAACTTTTTGATTTAATGTAATCAAAATTATCCATTTTGCATTTCATAATATTCTCTCTCTCTTGGTTGGTCATAAATTCTTCCCTTCTCTACAGATCTGACAGGTAAGCTATTCCTTG